CACCACATGCTGCACACTAAGGATGTACCAAGCAATGCAAGTGCAATAATGGCTTGACCAACATACATACATACGTACATACAACTGACAAATTTCTAATTGGATAAGACCTGCTTCTTAGGGTGGAACACACATCTTGTGCTGTAGACCAAGCCTTGTGTTGAGAATGGCTACCAGCCCCAGTGGGGACACCATCACAAGTATATTGTTTAATGAATATAATATGCCTACTGGGTTATCTTCTAGGCATTTGTATTTACAATCATGTTTGTTTAAATGTGTCTAATTCTTCCCATTTGTCTTTACAGTAGAAGGAACACCATGGAGATAGATTGGTGGTCATGGCCTAAAGACAACTAATGGGGAAGCCCAAGAAGCCACTATCTCACCATGATACAAGAGAGATCTCCCTACAACTATCACCCCCTCCAATGCTCTGGGACCTTAGCAGAAGATTGGCGGGAAGATTGTAAGATCAGAGGAAAGGGGTGAAGTGTCTCCCAGGTGACTAATTCCTCCAGGGGCAGGGCCTGCCCCTAAGGATGGACTACTGAGGGGCTGCTGTGAGTCATCTTGGGACAGAAGCAGTGAGCCATGAGTAACATGGAGCAACGGGCATGGGGAATGCACAGCTGCCGGGCTTACTCAAGGACAGAATGGCCTGACAGTTATGGACCTGAGGCGAGGCCGCTGGACCCTGAGGCATGGGCAAAAGCTTGCAGTGACTATAGGTGTGCTGCAGGAAGGATGTCGTATGGCCTGCTCTTAGCTGTGACTCAGAGCAGAGCTGCCTGGAACTGAATGGTGTGGAGCTAGGCACTGGGTATTCCTTTTGTTGTAAGTCACTCCCCTCTCCCCTCCCCATGACAATAATAAATGCACATAAACATATGTTATATGGTTTGCTTGATAGCTCAAGAGAACCCGAGAGAACTCTGGCGACAGAATAGGCAAACGTACAGGTAGACATGCAAGGGAGCAAAATACAAGGCACCACAAAGATTTCATTAATTGACACTATGAAGGAATTTCATTTTTAAAAGCATTCATCCACAGGATGATAACTTCTTAGAGGAGGAAAGTCCTGGTGCTGAGACATGAATTAATATACATAATCAGTATCTGAAATTCAACATATTTAAAGAAAGACAATATTAACTTTATTAAATGTATCATAACTTGGAGCACTTTGCACTAAGTTGCAGACATTCCCTCCCTCACTCCAATAATACTTTGAACTTTCTTTCAATAGTATTTCTTCTACCTCCTTGTGTTTATTTATTTAGAAAGATTGATTTTATTTTTATGTATATTTGTGTGTGTCTGCATGTATGTATGTGCACCACATGTATGCTGTTGCCCTTAGGGGCCAGAAGAGGGCATCAGATCCTTTGAAACTTGAGTTGCAGGTGGATATGAGCCACCCAGTATGCATGCTGGGAACATAACTCAAGTCCTCTGCAAGAGCAACCAGTCCTCTTAATCTCAAGCCATCTCTCCAGCCCCCCTGTTATTTTTAATTGAAAGATAATACACGTGAAGCAAAAGCTCCTAAGCAAGAAGCTTGATAGGATGTCATGCAGTCTGAACCAATCAAGAAACAACCTCTCGTCTCAGCAACCCCCTTATGGTCAGGGAACCACCATCTTGTCTTCTAATCCTTGAGCTGTTTGGAGGATTCTATATAGGCTCTTGAGCTACTGAAAGATTTTATGGGAATGAATATTTGAATGAGGTCATACATTCCTAACTATTTTATACTGATTTACATCTTTGCATCCATTGATGAACATCAAAAGGTCCCTCTGAAGATTCTCGGTCCCCTCATATCTAAGTGCTACTCTTTGGAAAGAACTCTCTTGGCTGTGTAGGCCTGTTGCACAGGTCTCTTTTCTGTGGTTAGGTGCAAGAGAAGGGATGTAAACAGGCAGGTGTGACTACATGAACTATACCCTGCCTGTGAAGAGCTCCCGGGGTGGCTTCCAGCTGTGTCATCATCCTCTACAAGCCACCAGGACGGCTGCAGGCAAACGGAGAACCCATGGAGTCAGGTCTCCGTGGTGTGTAACCGTATGTGGAGGGATGCTAGCTCTCTCGCCACAAACTCATACACCGCTTGGGTATGTGCTCATGCGTGCATGCGTGCGTGCGTGTATGTGTGTGTGTGTGTGTGTGTGTGTGTGTTGCATCTCCCCAGGAAAAGTCTGTCACACAACAGACCACCCACCAAACAAATGCTGTGTTAGAGTCATGAAGGAGACAAGACAGCCCATCTTGGATGTTTAGTTAAATGTTGTGAGACATAAAGCATGAAAAGAATTACACTACAGAAGGACTCAAAGAAATAGAGAAACAAGAGTAAGTAAGTGTGTGGGGGGGTATAGTAAATATATTGTTTTTGTGTGTTAGGCTAAAAATCACATTTTGAGGGGTTGGTTAACAGAAAAGAGATAAGTGTATTTTAAAGCTGGGAAAACCTGTCTCAAAAGTTTAGATAACAGCTGCAGTTGTCATTTATCTATATCTGTAATTATATCCATTAAAAGGTAGCCAGTCATCTGTAACTACATCTAGTAAAAGGTTGTCATTGTGTGTTCCCAAATAAGGAACTGCATTAATAGAGACCTAGAATGTGAGACTTGAGAATAAGCTAACTAATGATCTTTCCTAAAAATACAAACTTAAATAAAAACCTAGGCCATGTCAACTACAGAATTATCTGTGGATGCTTATAGCACATTTAAGATTTAGCTCAAGGTAAGGGCAGAGTAGTAAACTGAATGCTTATTGTGTGTTCCCAAATAAGGAACTGCATTAATAGAGACCTAGAATGTGAGACTTGAGAATAAGCTAACTAATGATCTTTCCTAAAAATACAAACTTAAATAAAAACCTAGGCCATGTCAACTACAGAATTATCTGTGGATGCTTATAGCACATTTAAGATTTAGCTCAAGGTAAGGGCAGAGTAGTAAACTGAATGCTTTAAACGACTACAGATTATTTTTTTTAGAAAATATTTTATTTATTATTTTTACTTTTATTTTATGTGTATGCATGTGTTGCTTGCATGTAGGTAAGTGAACCCATGTCATGCAATGCCCACAGAAGACAGAAGAAGTTGTTGGATACCCTGGAACTGGAGTTTCAGACAGTTGTTAGCTGCCATGTAGGATGGGAATAGAACTCAAGTCTTCTGCAAGAACAACCAGTGTTCTTAACTGCTGAGCCATCTCTCCAGCCCTAAATTATCTTACAAGAACTAAAAATTATCAATTTTTTCTACCTTTCTCATTTTCAAATGCAGAGAACGAAGTCAAAAGAAATAATAAGATACAGACATATTTGAACACTTGCTGTCAAAACACCTGATGATTTCCTGCTCTGTGCCCTTTAAGCCTTTGTGCATAAAACAGGTGATTTGAAGGTAGTATGCCAGATATAACAGAAGGGTAAGTCCTGGAAAAAGGGACAGTGTTTTAAAACACCACCATAGTAATGTAAGAAATAATTGTGTTAGAGTTGTGCATAGCAGCAGTTAGAGAGTTGAAAATGGAATCATTGCCAATTGAACAAGAATGTATCAAGAATGTAAGAGATAGGAAAGAGATATGGACCCAAACACACTCCAATGTGTTTCAGAGAGGAATGTCTGTTTCCTGTCACTAGCTTGGTATCCAGGGAAAGTGAAACAATTTCAGAACGCATTACAAATTTCTAGAGTTGTCTCATACGTGTTACTGTGTCTTTAACTTCCCCTTTAATTTTGAAAAACATAAAGCAAGGAACTAATTTATTTCTGGCCTGAAGAATATATCTCAGCATCCCTCAATCCCCATCCTGTAACTCTGTTACACATAGTAGAATCCAGGTACACGGTAACAGAGAAATTAGCTTCTATACCACAGCTCCTCCTCCTTGTTATTTCTGTCAGTCAGCACCGTAAATAAAGTATTTTGTGAGACCCAAGTCCTGATCCCTACTCAGGAACCGACCCTGACTCACCAGCCATGGGACAAAGCCTGAGTTCCTTCCCACCATGCAGACAGCTTCATACCGTAAAAGTGAAAGTCCCTGGGCATTTCCTTTAGTGCAGGGGGCGGGACTTCCAATAACATTGTGAAACTACTTACTGCTCAGAAAGCACACCCTCCTGAGGAAGCCCACAGTAACTCAATGCTGGCCCCCGTGTCCTGAGCTCTTGTTCTTTCCTTTCCAGAAATGAAAACCCACGAGTGCAGCAAAAATGGAAGTAACAAACACAACCCTGAAAGCTGAATCCAGGGACCTTTATTCCTCTTTGCTTACTTCCTCCCAGGTCCCTTAGTTGCCAGTGATGATTCTATCTCTGATTTCTGAGTGTTTCTACCTCTGTTCTCCAAAATGTGAATCCTGAAGGAGTTAAATCTCCTCAGTTAATCTCATTTCCAGGGGAGAGCTAACCAAGTATCATGTTTCAAATTCTCATGTGTCGAATCTAGTACTAGCCTCCCCTCCCTGTGTGTTTAGAATCTTAGTTTTTGATTAGACAGCTCAAGGCAACCCTTTTGTCCTTTATGCATGCATTTCTTCAACTGTGTAAGATTACCTTAACATTTACATTGTGCTGAGAGTGACCGGTTACCATGACTTCCTGATGTCCTCTGAAGGAAGATTGCTCTTCGAAACAATCTCAGTCCAAAGCAGAATGAATGCATGGCAGCAGGAAGACACATGTGAGAAGAAACTTTAGTGAAAAGACATGGGGAAGGCTACGTGTTCGACTTTGAATGTTTTTGAGAATTCAGGGTTAAAAGATTGCATTACAGAGTATGTGACCTTCTGCCAATCCTTCCTAAGTATATGTCACCTTACAGAGTGAATGTTTAATACGGAGCCACGAAGGGAAATCACAACCTGCCATTTATTTGTTCAATGTCATCTGTGTCTGCTAATGGTTCCATACTTGGTTTGTTGACTGTTTTATCTACTCAGAGAGTATGAACTGTTGGAAACTTAGGCCTGAATCAACATTTGCTTTTTTATTGTGAAGTACATTGACAGAGCTTAGAAATGGGTAGATTCTGGCCAATCTTTGTCAGTGTTAAGCTCATGTTTTGAGATGTCATTTATCATCATGTACTGTAACTGTCATAGTTATATTATATGCATCAGTTCTGAGAACTCTGATACCTATGGTGTCCTATGGTATCAGATATGTATGGTTTACATTTATGTCTCTACAGAATAAAGACCAGCAAATGATATATGGTATATGATATAATGGTACACCTAGCCAGTTCAACTCTTAAGAGTCATGGTGAAAGAATTCAGCTGAACTTCTGGTTAGTGAGGAATTCTGGGAGAGAGGAAGTTGATTTCTTCACTGTGTACCCATTAAGGTGCACATCAGGATCCAATGGATAGTACTAAATCCATTGTCAAATGAATGATCATGGTTAAACTCAATGGGTCTAAAGATAGGAACTATGAATCCTCAGAATGGCGGGAAGGAGGGGCACGTAATAAACGTGAGAAGGTATGGAGAAGGTGTGGTTACACTGTTCAGAGTGCATTTTATACAGGAATGGAACGGTCAAAGAACAGATCCAATAAGAAAGAAACAGAAAATATTGTTCCTCTTCACAGCATCAAATGAAATGAATGGAGAGGTAAAACCCAGCAGCAGCAGCAGCCCAGGCCGCCCTTCCACTTTTATTGGAGGTTTACTGTATCATTTAGAGAAATGTAGCCTTCTTGTTGATGTGAGTTCAGAAACAGGTACAAAATGATTGAACGCCTTGGGATCCTATGGGAGACAGAAATTACACACAGGTAAGAGTTCTGCTGAAAGGTATACAAAGTGTCAGGTCACTCTCTCAAGGGTGACACGCACACTCTTAAAAGATAAAAGCCAAGACTTGCATAAATATAGGGTGAAAGAGCAGTACATAAAAAACAAAACTTTCACACTGTATCTATAGCAGCTGACCCTCAAAAAGGAGCATGAGACTGAGATTGTAAAGGAAAAGCAGAGCATTATGAACTGAACAGAAAACAACATTCCTTCAGTGTTTCCTTGTTCTCTGCATTTATGACCCTAGACTCAGAAACCAGGACCAAGATGGGATTTTGGTACTCATCATTGGTCTTCTCTGAAAGAGAGAGAAAGAAAGAGAGAGAGAGAGAGAGAGAGAGAGAGAGAGAGAGAGAGAGAGAGAGAGATGAACTACACACAGGCATTTATAAAACTTACTAATTTAAAGTCCTGGGAAGAGGTAGAAACTTTTTGTTAAAGTCACCCTCTCAGTGGTGGGCATCTGTACCCCACATTCTGTTTTTTCAAATGAAAATCGAACCTAAAAGAGGGAAAAAAAAGTCTATGGATATTTTTTTTGTAAGGGGAGAATTTTGCCTTGAGATTGAAAAACAACATTGACTATAGCAAAGCTAAACAAAACAATTGCTTGCATCTGTAAGTTACTCAGCAACAAACATGTATCCCAAACTATGAAATTCTCTTACTTGTTCTGAAGCTGTGATGGACTCAGACACATTATAAATGACTGGTTTTTCTACTTAGGGTAAGATAAGCATTAATGCAAATGACTATTTTCTGGAGGATGCGGATCATAGCACATTGAACCTGATTTCAAGAATTGCTGACTGACAAAAGGTCAAAATTCTTTCAGAAGAATGGCATTATTGTAAAGCAAACATGTCCAAAAAATCCCCCATTAGACTCCACCCTGAAAAGTTAAAATCCAGGGAAGTCAAAGTGACGAGGCACCTAGAGACCTACCTTTCGGAAAATCTCCTCCAAGTCACAAGACCAGGCATGTTCTTTCATATATTTGATGAGGTTCATAATGAAAAGAGAGCCCCGGACAGGATGCCGCCAAGACACGTTATCTGTAAATAGAGTGCATAGTTCAAAGTTCAGTGAGTATATTTTCCTATAACTCAAGGTGGATCCTATGCACAACAGTGATATTCAGATGGTGTAGCTCCTAATTTCAAGGAATTGTAATCTAGTAGAGGGAGGTGGAACGGGGTGGTAGAGTGACTGGGTTTGGGAAAACAAGTATCCTAGTGTGTGTGTCCTGGGTGCTCTGTAACGATTCTGATCTAAGTCGAGTATATACACTTTGAAATGTAATACTCTCAACTATAAAGTGGAGAGTTAACAATTTCTTCCACAAAGAAATATTGAAGAGTAGATATAATACACTACAATTATTAAATAGGATATTGTGTCTTAAAAAATGCTAACTGAGTATAATATAGCCAACAGAATGGAAGTAGAGGACTAACCAGGGTTTAGGAGGGAAATACCCCATCATATTGTAATATGAAATTGTTTTGTGGAAAAGAGGATTGTTAAAAATAATAATCATGTAACAGGAAAGAAGCAAAAATGTACCTAAGAAATTTAAAGTTTATACAAAGGAATGTGTAAGAGAAAAACTCTATATGCAATCATATTCTTTAACCAAATTTTTTAGTCAATGGTCATGGTAATAAAATGCATGTAAATAATTAAGTCTCCTTAAAAGCACAGCTGTTTGTGGGGAGGGATTGTTGCAGGTTAAGTAGAGAGAAAGAAGAAGTAGGTATCTGTAAGTACTCTACAAAGTTAGTGAGCAGATGTCCAGATTCTTTTCAGGAAAACCCTACCTACCGTGAGGTTGTGGTGTACAGAGGGAAAGGTGGAGCTGGGTTGAGGTTGAGTGTGGATGATCAGTGGGCTCTAAGAGCCATCTGGAAAAGAAGGGGAGAGGAGAAAGGAAAGGAAAAGGAGACAGAAAATCTAGATGAATGGTAGGTTTGCCAAGGCCTGCAAAGGACTATGTAGCCAGAGGTGAATGCTTTGTACAAGACTGGGAGAAATTTTGATGAAAGAACAGTTATGCTTGATACTAAGGACTGTTCAATGCTTAAACCAGAAATATGCAGGGGTCTTGCCATGGTGTTTTTGATTGCTGAGGGAAAATTAGAGAGGCCATATAAGGGCATGGTCTACACATTGCAGAAGGAGGTTGTCTTCAGAGCGAGGTACCTCATTGTGAGAATAAACTTTGAGGCTAGAGAGATGACTCACTGAGTGCACTTTCAACACAAACCAGATGTGAGCGCAGAGCCACAGTATCCACATAAAAGGTGGACACAGCAGCACAGGCATCTATAGTCCTTCTGTTACTATGAGACGATAAGAGGCACAGACTGAAGAATCTCCTACAAGCTCCCTGGGCAGAAAGCCTAGAGCATTCAGTGTTGAACAAGAGACACCCTGTATCCAAGAAGGTAGAAGGTGAAGACTGACACCAAAGGTTGTCCTATGAGTTCTACATGCTACACATATGCTGTGACCCACCACACACTCTAACACACACACACACACACACACCCTTACACATATGTTTTATATTTTTTAAAGAATATGATCTGTAAACTGTTTGAGCAGAGGTAAGGCTTTAAGGACCAGACTTGAGTAAGTGAATGTGGGCCTTTGAAAACTGTGAAACCCTGTATATGAAATATTTAAATGACTTCTATTTAAACATAAATATGAGACATTAGTTGAGTTAAATTATGAAACTTAAACAGTCTTTCAATGTGTTTATTCAACACTGTGTTCAATAGTCTATATATATTATCCTATTTTACTCCACATTAAAATATTATATTTATAAGTATTGGTGAGGAATTCAAAGAAATATTCGAGAGTCAAAATAATCCATACTATTTTAGGATGCAATAAATGGACAGGTCAGAATGTAATCTAAATATTATTACTATATGGCATACATTTAGATCATTAGGTCTATTTACTTTTATGCATTGTATATCTACAGTTGAAACTCACTTTAATATAAGGCCCCAATACCTATGATAGACTAGCTTGCATGTGATTTCAGATTTTTCTCATAGGAGCACTGGGATTCGAGATGCCCTCTGTACAACTGTGTCTGGTTTTCATGTGAGTTCTCAGGATGTGAATTTACACTGTCAGCATTTCTGTCCCCTGTACCCCACTCTCACTACTCTGTAGAAACACAATGTCCAGGCACACTGGTATTCTGACTGTGCTCAACAACACATCATACACCTTTCAGTTTCGATTCTCTGTTATCCTTCATACTGTGTACCATAAAGGAGTTTAATAATCAGCAATTCATCAAAAATATATGTATGTTTTTCTTGTTGGATGAGGGAAATTTAATGCATTACTAGGAAAAGGGTGATCTTTAAAATCTTATCCGGTATGAAACAAAGGTGCCAGCACTATAAAACTCTTGTAGGAATTTCTCAGTAATTCTCAGCAAGGCAACCTACATAAACCCCTTTACCTGGTGTCGAAGAGCAGAACGCAATGAAATCTTTTTCTATATGGGCTTTCTGAACACCATCATCTTCAAAATCTGGATCCTGTAATTCTCTGTTTACACAGTCCTCTACAGAATCCTTCACCCACACCACTCCTTGGTTCCCTAAAAAGACAAAATTTGGCTTCACGTTATGTTTCCAAGGAAACTACTTCTTCTTTGAAACTTCTGTAAAACAATATTTATTAGTTTATTAGTCTCCATTTTTCTCATAGATATAAGTAGGCACATATATCTCAGGGGCCATATTTTCAACAATTCTTATCTCTTTTAACCCTCAAGGTGACTTAGTTGGCATCTAAACATAAATCTCTATATACTGGTAGTGATATTTCTTTAGTTGAGAATGCAACAAGTACCTACAAGTTAGAAACACAATTCACAGATGACACAATTACTTGAGTGGTAAAATAGAAATTCTTTGATATTTAGGAATAGACCCAAAGACACTGAAAAGTACTGGCTGGACATAGATGTAACATCAGTATGTGAATGGTTTATGTTCTGAAGAAATCAGCACTTACCTCCACGGCAGGCCTGAATGATGATAACCTTGGGTTTGTCTTTCATACTTGGGCAGTTCCTAGTGTTCATCATTTGAAAGATAGTGTTTACTTGTAACACATCTGCGAATTTCTCAGAGTATTTCCTTCCACATATGCCATCTCGGATACCATGAGACATAAATACCAAGAAAGTACTGTCAGAGGTCTTGTGCTCTGGGCAGTCAGCAAATGCCATCACCTCTGTAGTCATCTCCTGCAAGACATCAGACCAGTGATTTTGGACCATGTGGTTCACCATCATGATAATTTTATTATTCAATAAGTAAACACCAAGAGGATTCATGGACTAACTCCGTGAAAATAAATGGCATGGGAAAGAAAATATCCTTTCTATGAAATAGAAGGATATAAAAAATTATAGAGTCTCCCAGAGATGGGTGAGTTAATAGAAACACTCCAATTAGGTATTGTATGAGACTGACTAAAAGATGGCTGCATTTGAACACTTCCACCATCCTTGGATTAGATATATGAGGTGTAATAGAGAGCAGATAATTAACAAAATGAATGGTTTTTAGAAGTATATGTATTGAAGTATTCAAACAAAAGCATTGTTTATAACTACAAAAAAGATGGTTGAATTTGAAGGAGATATGTGATATCTAGGACCCTTCCAAAGGAGCTCCATTATAAACCAGCAAGAGATTAAGTTCCTTCCTACTAGACATGGATATTGTTTCTATAGTTTGACAATACTTACCAGAGCAGTGAGATTTTCTTTCACTTTCACTGTGTATCCCAGATCCTGTAGCAATATTTCCATATCTCTGAGGTCAACATCAGCTCCTGCTCTCCTGGAAAGATGTTCGAACTCTATGTTGCAGATAATGAGAGCAAGCCGTGTGCGAGTGGATCTATCACTTATTGGATAAATCTGTATGGAAGGCAGATTGGATGAACAGTCTTGTTTGAGTCAATTTCTGCTTTCTGTGTTTAAGACAGATCCCAATTCCCCTCCCTGAATCCTATAAAGAAACAAAATCCCATGAAAGCCAGATTGAAGACAGGAATAAAACTGAATCTTAATTTTGGAATGGGAATGGAGCTCACTGAAACCCAGGTGGTCATGATCTCACCTTAATCCTGACAAATTTTGGAAGAAACACAAAGTTTGAAGTCAATATCCCTGAACTTATGTAATGCTGATTCTTCCAGTTTCTGATTCTTTGATTCGGAACAAAATAGTGAACAATACCTGACCCATTTCCTACTCGGGATTAGGACAAAGTCTGCAGTTCTGTATAACTCAGATTGTAGGATGTAGAAATCCTTCATATAGGACGAGTGCCTCAATGGTTCTCCAGGATTTTACATGATCTCAGCTGTGACAAAGAAGCACAGCCCTTCAGAACAGTCTGTTTATTCCTCAGCCCGCTCCATCCCTGAATTCTGGGCACAGCACCTCTGATGATCTTTCTTTCCACATGCTTTGGGCTCTCTCTAAGGGACAAAGCTTGAGGCTCCCACTTGGTCCCACGTGCACCTCTTCTTCTTTGTTTTGTTTTTCCTTAGTTGCTGCAAGAGACAAGAAACATCACGCATGTGTGCATCCCTGGTGGTCCCACTTCATGCCCCTCTATGTGTGAAGTGAAATTGAGGATAACTGCAGTTTAGAAGAAAACCCTGAGCTCATCGCCGCACTGTAGCATGAGTGACTGCTAATGGAACTCACTGCAAGCCAGAGATTTACAGTGGTATAATGCAGCATCTGCCTGAGGATCAGTATCTTGTCAAACATCTTAAACAAAAGCAAATCAAGAAAGTGTCTCAAGGCTGTGATAAAATACTTATAAATATTGTATTAAAATACAATATAAAAGGTTTAACATACATTTATTTTACAAAATGTAAAACCTAGGATAAAATCTCAGGGAGGTTATGGAATGAGATATTAATTAACTCATCTCAAGAGTTTTGAAAATGTATGTTTACCTATTTTTAAAGTTATTTACAGGTACATCACGTATATTTTTTAATGAGTCTTTTGCACATCACATATATTTTTTTAATGAGTCTTTGCCCTCTCCTTCAGAATTAATTTCAATTATTAATGTATGACAGGAAAAGAAGGGACAATATTGAATATGTGAACTAGAACAGATACGAAGCAGAATAATAAATGCTAAAGATAATATACAATCCAGTTAAATTCATATAACTCAACACTGACTACGTAAATATATGAGGCAGTGTTTTCACAATGGTCTGTGTGAAAAAACCCCGAGGGTCGTATCTAAGCATAAGATCAACATCACCAAGCAATGTAATGTACTTGCTGAAAAATTTAGTAGAATATTTTATTTCAAACTAGCGAATTTTTTTACAAATTAAGCTATTAAAAGGAGGAAATTGTAATTAATTTTGAAAATAAAAACCATTAAATAAAATGCTGTATATTTAGCCAGTTAAGCCAGGGCATCAAAGTGTAGTGATGGTAGAAAAAATAAAAATAGAAATTGATTAGAATGTATATACTTTAAAAAGTGTAGAAATTCTCATTAAATTTAAAAAAGATGTTCTTCTGTACCAAGAAACCTAGAGCAATAGCCAATTAAACAGAAATATTTTAATTATATTAGTGCTACTCCTTTAAAGGAATGAAGTAAAGTATTTGATTGCATAGGAACATCACATTTGGTGACATATCTGAGGGAACACTTGGATTAATCACCACTAATAGACTCAATAGCATACTGGAGTTTTTAAAATATTTGCCTTTCTTACTTGTAAATATCTTCCAAATGTAGAATTCAGGAGCAAGGATTTGCTTTTGGAAAAAAAGTCATTCTAGAAATATTGTGGAAAACCTTTCCTAGAATAAGCAGCCATAGTCATTTGTGAAGAGGCCAACTCATTCAAATATAAGAGTTCTTATCTGTACCTGCCACGTGCTTTGGGCATCAGTATTCAGTAAGCCAGGCCTTACCCACTTCAGTCAGACCACTAGAACCACTAGAGCTTTCAGTCAGACCACTAGAATGTTTTGTGTGTATGTGCTAGCCCTAATAGTGTATGAAACAAATCTTTATTTTGCTTTCATTTTGTATCAGAAGCTGTTTCCACACTCACAGTGTCTCCTCAGTCCCTAAGACACTGTCTTCTCTTCTGGTCACACAGCAACATGTTGCCATCATTCTGTCCAAATGACGGGCTACAGTGAATGGAAGGCAGGACCATATGTCATGTGTGACACATCTAGGCTGAGCTTACAAAAATTCTAGAAATACTCGCACATTCCTTCCAATATCTCTACCTGGATGACCGTACTCAGTTCTTCTGACATTGTCTGAAGTATCCCAGATCTCTAGGAGCCCAGGTAAGTGGCTGGAAGAAAGCTAGTTGCTTATTGACAATGACTATTTTATAATTTTCATGAATAAGAAGTAACTTTATTCTGTAGGAATCACTGTGAATATTTGAATTACTTTTGCATGCCATGTGATCTTATTGGATACAAAAGTACTAAAATTTATATTCCTAAAGTGTCGTTAACTTTAACTTGGTAGTACTTAATTTTTAAGTACAAATTCATTTGCAGTACAGGCATTCATGCAAGTCCAATCCAAGCAGAAGTATCATTTATCTGGTTTATTATTCTCTAAAATTCTATAGGACAGGGCCTGGAATACAGTTGGCATGTGATAAATATTTTCCTAATGGTCTAGTAAATTATAGCAATTCTCATATTGTTGAATGACATGGTCTCAATACAACTGTTTCCATACTATGCATGGTCTCAATACAACTGTTTGCATACTGTTTGCTCATACTGGAGCAAGAACTTGGATGTTTAATTGTAGAATGAAGCATCAAGTCAAATGGGGGAAAGAAATACAGCATTTGAAAAACAGAAAAATCCAGTAAGAGTCTTGACTGGCATCTACTTTATGCTAGAAATAAGGACCATGCAATATAATAGTGAACATAAACAAGGAAGGCTCATTCAAATTTGAGAGAGGAATCCATTGAAATTTAGCCACTGACTGAAAGTAGAATTGATAGAGAATGAGAGGATAAAGGGGCAAGAATGCATTTTGAATTTCAGAGTTGAGCAACTGGTGATGGAGACAATATTAAGGCAGAGCACGCTGAAGAGAACGAAGGAAAATCGGGAAGAATGGCATGTTTAACTCTGGTGATGTGTGGAAATACATGAACATGACAGATGGGAGTAAGATGTTCAGTGGGCATTGGATTGTCCCCAACTAGGAAATTGGACTTTGTGACACAG